CACTCTCCGGTAAATGTTGTTGTTAGTTGCTTAGAACTCCATTGAAAACTATTACTTTAAACCCCAAATTTTGATATAAATTAAAAAATTTAAAGACTGTAATTTTGTTTAATTCCGTCTATTTTGAAAAGTTCTGATATATATAATGAATTTAAATTTGTCAGGGGGTTCAAGTCCTTATTTTATATTAGATATATGAAAAAAAGAAAAGAAAGAAAAAGAGGAAAGGAGGGCTTCGTGGATGAAAGCAGAACACCGCGGCTACAATGGTTGAAGGATATTCTGATAAGTAACTAATGGCGAAAGAGTGTCTACAATGACAGACCGATGGGGTAGTCGGGTTGTTTGGCAACGGCTCGACTAGGATACGTAAACAAACTTTGGCCGACTGCGAAAATAAAATTTATTTCGATATGACGAAAACAGGTGAAAAGGGCTCTGGATGATATGAAAAATTAAAAGCCACAAGACGGTCCACTGAAATTCTTTCGAATCTTTGGCCTGCGATAATAAAATTATGTTAAAAATATGTACCGAAGGGAAATTTTCTTTTCAGGGCGACGTTTGGCCGTGTTAAAAAGACCACCCATTCGGATAATTAGCGATAAAATGCCTGACGAAGACCACGTGTAGAACAAGAGTTATGACCGCCATTGTTCATATTGTCCGTTTTCGGCTAGAGGAAGAAGAGGAAAAGAAAAGATAATTTTTAGTTAAGCAAGATATTTTTTTCCTGAAACAAAACCGCGGATTCGTCCACGCCCGACTAAGACATCATTGGTCGAGTGGTGATCACGTGACGCACGAAGGAGGCTGTCGCCGCCCATCCAGGGTATGGGTATGAGAAGCTGCTACGAAGAAGTGGGGAGGGCAGTTCACGCCCCTCTGAAGTATGATGAGAATGTGGGAGTAAGGAAAGATCCCCAAAAATGGAAAAAAATGGAAATTCCTAACCAGAGAGGTGGATATGTATTTAGAATTATCGAGAAACCCCGACACTTGTCGAATAGAGGGAAAGAGAGACAAGCAAAAACACCACATGCCATAACCAGTGTCCTTAGGCAAGTGAAAGACTGAATGTGGTCAGGGGGAGATGGCAGAAGGAAGGAACTTGGTGAGAGCTGAAAGGGATAGAAGGAGGTGGAGAGCCATGATCGCCTACGTCCTGAAAAACATGGCACATGAAAAGAAGAAAGAAATTGTTATCAGACTATAGTAATACACAGAAGGATGAGTATTACTATAGTCGATCCAGGGAAGACGTTCTTATTAAATCTGTGTAACTAATTTCTTGAGTATAGACCCCTACGATATACATATTTACAAAAATGTATATGTTTAATCTTGATTATCTAAATATATAAACTCATATAGTAGTACAGTTAACTGAGACGCTGTACTAGAAAATCTGCTTACCTATCGCTATGAAAAATCAGGCAAACTAATATTTTAAAATATCTTAATATCTTTGGTTTTAAAGAAATAGTCGCACTAACAACAGTTTTATTCACAGAGGCTTGACAGGCGTACTCAAAAGTTTGTACAAACACTGAAATAATCAGCAAGATTTTCTTTCCCTTATTGCATGGAACATGATGAAAAAAAAAACGGAAGGATTTCGCAGATGAAAGCAACAATGAGAATTGCATTTATAAAGAGTTAACACGTGGACGAAACAGAATAAAAGGGAGAGAAACAAATAAAAAGAAGATACAACTAAGTGATGAAGAGGGAGAAAGAGAGAGAGAGAGAGAAAAAAAAGATTTGCCAAAAGAGAAAGAGAAGATTAATTGTTTTGTAACGTATAAAGGTTTATTTTTACTGAGGAAGTTTGAAGGAAAGATTAACGGATTCTGATTCTTTTCTTTTTACAAAACGAATAGAGAAGAAAGAAACTTCAATACGAAACCAGGAATTTACTCTTGATGTGTTCCTGTGTTTTTAGATAGATAGATAGATAGATAGATATAGATAGATAATTAATGACATAGATAGATAGATGATAGATAGATAGATAATGAATAGACATAGATAGATAGATAGATAGATAGATAGATAGATAGATAGATAATTAATAGACATAGATAGATAGATAGATAGATAGATAGATAGATAACATGAACACACACACACACACACACACATATATATATATATATATATATAGATAATGGATAGACATATATATATATATATATATATATATAGATAGATAGATAGATAGATAATGGATAGACATATATATATATATATATATATATATATATATATATATATATATATATATATATATAGATAATGGATAGACATATATATATATATATATATATATCTAGATATATAGATAGATAGATAGATAGATAGATAGAGATAGATAGATAGATAGATAGATAGATATATATGGATATATATATATATATATATATATAGATAGATAGATAGATAGATAGATAGATAGATAATGAATAGATATATATATATATATATATATATATATATATATATATATATATATATATAATGAATAGACATAGATAGATAGATAGTGTGTGTGTTATAGGGGTGTAGATAGCTAGAGAGATAGAGAGATAAAGGAGGGAGATAGAAAGTTAGAGAGTTTTCTGAGATGGAAATAGACTAAAATTGATGAACAGATTAAATTAGATATATAGATAGATAGATAGATGATGGTCAGAGATAAATGGAGAAAGGGAAAGAAAGATAGGTTTAGATAAAGAGAGAACATGCGTGAGTTAGAAAGAGAAATGAAAATATTTAAGAACCTGAAATACTGAGATAGATAGATAGATAGATATATAGATAGATAGATAGATAGATCAATGAGAAAGAGAATAGAGCGATAGAATTAAAATAGGTAAGGTAAAAAAAACAAAACAAAGCAAGTGCGCACTTACATTCAGAGTTAATTATTGCCCTATTACCTCATGAAAGAAACGTATAAAATAAAGAATATGGTGTTTGTTTTCTGCCGTCTTCGATATTAGAATCTATAAAAGAAAATACGCTAATTTTGACAAATTTAAACAAAAAAAAAAACAAATAGCAAATGAGTAGAAACAATGAAATCAAAGGCGATCTTTTCGTATGAAGTTAGTGAGAATAGTGTAAATGTTTGGATGAACTAAAGATTCGTTGAAATCAAAATAAAAACTCTGTTCAAAGATGTGATATACATTGAAAAACGACGCCCAGTGTAGCAAGTGCATCCATATATGGATCAGAAAAATGATAAATTGTGAAACAAGAGTTTTTCATTTTTTTTTCTTAAACGCGTAATACATAATCTAGGGTCATGCTTTTTCTTTTTTAAATAATTCTTCCTGAGATAATTCCGACTCTGGTTGGACTTCATTTTGTTTTTTGTTTTTTTGCCAGACTGGGTAACATTTCAGCATATTGAATTCATGTGGGTGGAATAAATTTTCTTCAGTAAATCGAAATATATTTCTGTGCGCATAGATAGGTAGATAGCTGAATAGACAGACATATAGACAAACAGAAAAAAATAGATAGATAGATAGATAGATAGATAGATAGATAGATAGATAGATAGATAGATATGAAAAGACTAAGCTAGATAGCTCGATAGATGAATATGAAAAAATAAGATAGATATAAAAAATAAGATAGATATGAAAAAAGTAAGATAGACAGAGGACAGAGGAATCAACACGGCATAGTCATTGAGAGGTTCGGGCTTCAAACTTCGCACCGAATGTTTCTTATGCCATAGAAAGGAAACACATGGAAAAATTTACATTCTTATATTTAAAATATATATATATATTTCTTTCTCTTTCTTTGTCATTCTTTATTTATATTATATATATATATATATATATATATATATATATATATATATATATATATATATATATATATATATATATACACACATATATTACAGAGACACTTAGGGGCTGATTATAGCCGCGTTCAGAATGGGTTGAAATAGACGGTCCTCTATGTTGAGGTAAAAAATACCTATGCTCTGTTATAATAAATACATCGAGCTCTCTGTGGATCAGTTTTAATAATTAATATTACTAGGATCCACCCGGATTATATTCCGACGGATCCATTACCCGTATATATATATATATATATATATATATATATGTGTGTGTGTGTGTGTGTGTGCGTGTGCGCGTGTGTGTGTGTGTGTGTGTGTATATGAAATTTGCTTCATCCTTGGACACAAGCTTTGGGCCTGTTAAACTCAACAACCACTTTTACATTTTCATACTCACTTTGACACATAAATATAGCTTACATTAAAACTATGTTTTTGTTATACATATATATATATATATATATATATATATATATATATATATATAAATATATATATATATATATATATGTATGTATGTATAACAAAAACAGTTTTAATGTAAGCTATATTTATATATATATATATATATAGAGAGAGAGAGAGAAAGAAAGAAAGAAAGAATGAAAAAGAAATAAAGAAACAGAGAAAGAGAAAGAAACAGAGAGAGAGAAATAAATTGTTAGAGAAAGATGTGGAGGCGTAGTAGGGTGCTAAACGATAACTGCCTGACCCAAAATCTCTTACCAGATTTTCTGTAGTTTGTTGGACCAAAATATTTTGTGCCCCCCGCCATATATATATATATATATATATATATATATATATATATATATATATATATATATATATATTTCGATTATATTTGATACAATTTATAATCAATTTTGTTTGTTTCGTACGCTTCTTCATTTTCATCTGTGTCTAAATAGTGAATGGATGCCTTTTTATTTTATTTTCAAGATGCAAACATCATTGAGTTGCTTCTTAACCCCGAAACAACGATAACTACAGCACATCGACTCTGGTTGTTAACGCCGCTGTCTTTCTTGTAGGCGAATACAAGAGATTCCTTAAAGACATGTGATTAGCCAGATCCCTGAAAGCATGCCTAACGAACCATTTATCGACGTGCTAAGTGGCCGTTATGGTAGCAGGTAATCATGTGATACAGAGGCAACAGCTCACGGTGCCAACTATGTTTGGTAAAAGAGGACAATAAAGAATAACACAGAAAATTAATGACACCAGGAACAAGGCTTATTGATGATGGTTTAGTCTATTTTACTGTTAATTTATGGCTGGGCTGTTGGGTAATCAGGGTTTGCACGTTGGTACAGGCTGGAAAAGAAAACAATGAATGTATAAATGCATATGTGGTTTATTTGCCATGGCATTCTGAAAAATAAACTCTGATTGAGGAAAAACAAAACACGTACTGAAATATATGGAAATGTATACAAGGCCTCTCCGGAAAATATCCAGCCAAAGGGAATATTATGACCTTCAAATTTTATACGTCTAGGACCGGTTCACTTTTGGGAACATATACCAACTAGCATCGATACGATTACTAATATAATATGTGTTGAAACTTGACTAATGCATGGAATAATAATACAACACAAAATGTACTTAGAACAAAATGTATTGAAACAAGAAAGTGTACACAATATTTACATATAGTCTTTTGTATATTCTTGGGAAGACCGTTCCTGGAATGTGTTGACTTAGTCGCAGTCGGGCAGAGTTTCTGGATTGAATCTCTTGATTCCTTCCCCTCCAGTACCAACCATATTTATATGGTCGGTACTCCACTATGCAAATTAGGTAGATCCTACCACAACAATATGGGAACTTAAAATACAGACAGGTATGTGTGTGCGCGGAAGCTTAATAATCGTCGTATGAACGTAACGCTATATGAACTAACGTCAAATAGCCTGAGATAAACTAATAATGATAATGGTTGCCAGGTGATATACGAGGACATCTGTCTAGTAGTTTACAAAATGACCTATTAGGGTGGCTAGCCAATTCCCGTTGCAGACGCCTGCTGAGGCACATTTAAGCTTGTTCTAGAGACAACTCGTGGATTATACTGCAACTAAACTGGGTGGAACTTAGTTACAGTTTCAGGGAGGGAGGGCATTATCTGGTCTGATTATCAGTCTGAACAAGTCCAGCACGATCAAAACCTCGGTCACGATGACTTATGAAATTCTTGCCAGTACAACCACCCAATTTCAGTCACAAGCCGTGGTATGATTGTTATGCTGAGATAGTCTCCCCGAAACCGACAACTTCAAGTGACCTATCAGACAAATCGACCATGAAGAGATTCCAACATGGGTCTCATCATCAGAAAGGCAACGTTCTAACCACTTGGCTAAGTGCCTAGAACTATAAGAACTTATGTAAAATAAACTGTGATGAAGTAGAAAGTAACGAATCTAAACTATATAAAAACAGAAATTAAACAAATTCTAGATATTTCGCCCAGGAAGATGACAGGAGTTAGCAGGACTGGGTAAGACAAGTGATGCACTGGTAACTATACGAGCGATTTTTTTTTTATTTTACTCACTTGTGATATATACACAGCAACAGTTCAGTACTCTTTTCGTTGTTTCCAACGAAACTTTCCTGTCGCTAAGTACAGAAGTATTCGTTCATCAACAGGAATCGAACCTCTATGCCATACGGAAAGAGTCATATAGGCTGACATGTTGTTTAAACATTCAGCCACAGAGAATTTTCCGGTTACTATTCATTGGAACTTTGCTAATCGAAAATTTCTGCGAGGCTGAATGGTTAAAGAGCACGTCAAGCTATATAAAGGATTCCGTATGGGATGCAGGTTCAATTCCTGACGGTAAAACGCACATTTTCTGCGAAATTTTTCGAACATTCGGGCCAGTAAAGTTAATTAATACTATTTGATTAAAACGGAGCATTTACTCAAATAAGTTGTATCCATAAAAATAACGTATAGACAGAAACTATTTGTTGGATTTCATTTATATATATATATATATATATATATATATATATATATATATATATATATATTATTTATTTAAAAATATGATTCCAACTCGCGACATAAGAGGTCTCACGTTTCAAAACAAGAGCCGAAAACTTCAATATAATTCTTTAAATTAAATTGAGTTGAAAGTAAAATGGGCACCGTTCCATCTTCAAGCGAAATTTTTGTTGGAATAACGTATATCTGAAATTTACTTGTTTTAAAATTGAAATCAAAATCCCCATGGTAACAGCTAGGGTGAATTGTCTAAATTGGGTAGGCAAGTGTAGGGTGTTTATAATAAGTAGCGGTATAGAGATACTTTCAAGGTGTCAAGTCGGGGAAAGGTGGGGTGTCAAAAATGAAACGGAAGATGTATTAGCCATCGTATATATATATATATATATATATATATATATATATATATATATATATATATATATATATATATATATTGTAACTTTAAAGAGGTTACATTCAGACAAAGGTGGTACTCGAATGAAAGGAACACCAAAACGGACATAAATGAAAGAAAGAGAGGTTTATTGTAAAAGAGAATACACTCCTGAAAGACAGGGAATTGGATAACAGGCTAGTAATTCCCGAAGCAAGTGTATTTACCTTACCACCCCGCGAGGCAGTATGTGGTACAAGGCCGTTTTTTTTTTTTTATGCGGGGCAAAACCGAGCCCTTAGGCTCGTGCAAAAATTCCCCGTAGACCCTCGGTTCCTCTCCGCCCGAAGACAGAGAGTTCGACCAGCTCAGCTGGAGACGAATCTCCAACTAATTGCCGAAGCAAGTCGTATGTACATCCTGTGCTCACGAAACATATCTACTGATATAGACAGTACACAATAGGCGATATGGTGAGTGGGATATCCCATTACAACACCTCCGCACTTGAGCTAATTTTTTCATGAAATTTAGCTCAATACTTCTTTTTAGGGTCAGGACATAGTTATTTGACTTTTCCTCTTTCTAGTACTTCTCCGTCTCACTAACACGATATATATATATATATATATATATATATATATATATATATATATATATATATATATATATATATATATATATATATATAATGGTAAATGAAAACACTTCGAAAGGACGAGTCATATATATATTTTATTAAACATGGTTATCCGTTTACTTAACATTATTTTTATATATAATATCTCTCTATATATTATTCTCCCACGCATATGTCTGTGTTTGTGCATGAATGCGGGAGCATGTGTGTGTAAGTGGCATCTGTCGGTCTCGAAATACCATGGATCAGCGCTCTCTACATGGCGAAGGCATAGGCATGTTTTTTTTAATGATAAATCGACAGTTACCAATGCAGCGCGTCTCCAATTCCATTTTCCAATAGAGCTTGGCACCGGCATCCAATTATATATATATATATATATATATATATATATATGCAGATATGTAGAAAAAAGGAAAGAACACATTAGGTTAATAATCCGGAGTTCTTTAGTATGTCTGTTTTTATTTTTAAAAAAACAGTGCTCCATACAGAAGTAGAGCTTAAATTATTTTTTTAAATAATTGTAATATATATATATATATATATATATTTATATATATGTATGTGTGTGTGTGTGTGTGTGTGTGTATACATATATATATGTGTGTGCGTGTATACATATATATATATATATATATATATATATATGTGTGTGTGTGTGTGTGTGTGTGTGTGCGTATGTGTGTGTGTATATATATATATATATATATATATATATATATATATATATATATATATATATATATATATATATGTGTGTGTGTGTGTGTGTGGAGCTGGAGGGTGGTATTAAATTTTAGACAGATAATAGCAAAGTATTTTCGAGTGATTTTAAAATCGTATAGAAAATAATTAAGACACGGCGACGCAGCAAAATTATTCTCCTCGGGTTTTTTTTATGTCTTTATGAATCTCCCGTTACATTTTGGTAATAGGAAGGAATAGTAAATAGTTAATAATAATAATAACAATAATAATGAGAAGAAGAAGTAGAAGAAGAAGAAGAAGAAAATGAATAGCGGGAAAATAGGAGAATGAATTTGAGGCCCAGATGTAGAGCTCCAAGGTTGTGTTTACGCCATTATTTTTCGAGGCGTCTGGAAATCCTTATTGTGGTGGTTTTCTGTTGTTAACGACTCTAATTGCTACTTTTCCTGTCAGTTCTTGACAAGAGAGACGTAAATAGAGCACTTTAGGATGAGCAGCCAAGGCGAACAAATCATAAAAAAAAATGATTGCTTTTGCCGTCAGAAATTGTCACTTTGGCCAAAAGAAGGGAATGAAAATAAAAGATTATCAAATGGAATGAAATGTTTAGAAATAATGGCTGGTTAACCGGTTCGATGGACTTCATCGAAAAATGTTTCAACATTTATTAAAAATTCTATAATTTTTATTTCTGTTGCAATTCAAAGTCTTCATCTACACAAGCGCTTTGTAAAACGGAAGATTCAAATTTCTTCGTCTTCCATGTTCCGTGTACTTTAAGGGCGTGGGCGATCATGGTTCTCCACAACTTTCACATCATCTGTAGCTCTTAGCAATGTTTGTCAATTTAACTATCCCTCCCACTCTGCCATTCGTTTAGATGAGCGCTTGAGAATATAAAGTGCTCTAAGCTTGAATGTGCGCGTTATATAATGCATAATGGCTCGCAATTGCTAAACAGAGAACCGAATTTCAATTCCCATTGGGTTGGGTACGTTATATGCAATTACCTGCAACTTTCAAAAACCCACAGTACCATATTACAAAAGATATATATATATATATATATATATATATATATATATATATATATATATATATATATCCTGTCAAAGAACGAATATTTTCTATGAAAATTTCTCGGACATTCAGGCCGGTAAATGTTATTTAATACTGTTTGTTATAAACAGAGCATTTACTTAAATACTTGTATCTATAAAAAAGAACGTTAAACATAAAAATGTCTTTAATATATATAAGGAAATATATTGTAATATGTATTGTAATAATAGAAAAGAACAATGAAATTTATAATTCAGGGTTCTTAGCATTTATTTTTATACAACAGTAAAGAATAATATTATAATTGTTTTTTTAATATATTATCATCGCAACACCGAAATTCCCATCTTTCATGCTTTAATAACCCTAAAATAATAAAAAAAAAAGATTGAATTTTCCTTAACTGCGACATCTCAAAATATCAAATTTGTCTGGACTTATAAATTAAGTAAATCTGTTTCTACAAGGTTATTCTTAGTATCTCTTGATAATGAGATGGAGCTTTATATTTTAAGTTTAATTTTTATGATCGAATTTAGAGTCAAGTTTTGAAACCTGAGGATTTCGGTGTTGCGATGAAAAAAAAAAAAAAATATATATATATATATATATATGTATGTATATATAAATTCAGGTAGGATGAGATCGAAAAGATTACAATTACAACATTTGTAACATTTAATATAAAAGAGGGCTCAATAGAAAATAGTCGGGCACTTCCGAACAATGCCTTAAGATTAGAACATCTCTCCTGGCCGATAATATCCCCACCTTGACAAATCGACCTTGGTGAGATTCGAACCCGGGTTTCATTGTTGGAACGCTTATTTTCTAAGCTCTCGATCACTGAATAAATTTGTGCGCATGGCTGACTATTTTTTTTTTTATTCGTTTTCATTTTCACTTGTTCGCCATTAGGTTTTTACTATGAAATTCCATTATTATGAATAAAGGCTTACTATGACACAACATCCATTCATTGAGGCTTGATTTTTGTTTTAATAACAGGAAAATATGGACTGAAAAAAACGAGTAAGGGCCAACAGGCATAAAATATATATCATTGCTGCTAACAGTCATTTTTTTTTCGGTGAACTATGACGAATAAAAGATTAAGCCACTTTGATGTTTAGTGTTCCCACGTGACATTTGTTGCGTAGGCGGACGATTTCAGTTTGCGGATTTGGCGTGTGAGTTTCATTTCTATCTTGAAGTGTTTATTCGTATTCAGCGCTGACCCCTTAAATCAATAAATGTATTTGCAAACTTGAAGGGTGCGTAACATATTATATGCATTATGCACGGGCGTGCAGACATACATTGATTCACTCATATAAATATACATATATGCAGATGATATGCATATTATGTAAAAGTTCCCTAAACTTTTTTGTTCAATATTCCTTCAGGGCGTTGGTGACCATGGTTCTTCAAAGTTTTCTGTCATTGCTAGCTCTTAATAGATTTTCAGTTTTTATCTCTCCTGAATCATATCCCGCTATCCATGCTCGCTATCTATGCGCTGTTTTCCTCTGTCCTTGTCTTCAATCTGCCTTGTGAGTATCGAGATCTAAAAAGCTTCTTTCCTCATTATTTTCCGCAAAAATTGAAACAAATTCATCTCTTCATAATGTTAATTAAAAGTGTCATTTTTGCCGGTATTTTATCTAAAACGTTGTCGTTGCTCACGTGCTTGGTCCATGGTATTCTCAGCATCCTTCTGTAGAACCATATTTATGTTGTTTCATGTCTCTTTTTGCCATAGAAAGAAAGGCAATTCCAGCAGTTAGAGACTGATGCAAGCAATCCTAACAATATATTGCTATTATCCGCAAGAAACGACTATACCTGAAAATAATAATGATCAATAAAAAAATCAATAAAATTCATAAAAAATCAATAAAAAATGCAACTTGACATGCTACTTTATTAATACTATTACTTTTATAAACCGCGTTCCTTCAGAACGTTGACGATCATGGCTCTCCATAATTCACTGTCCTTTGTAGCTCTCAATAAAGTCTATCTTTTACTTATCTCTATTAAACCTTCCTCAGCCACCCATTTATTCATGCTCTCTAGGTAGGTTACACATTGTTTTCCTCTGACCCTATTGCTTTCAATCTGGCCCTATGCGTATGGAAATTTCCCAGCTTTCTTTCCTCATTATGTGCCCTAGAAATTTCAACTGTCTCATCATAATGTTAGGTGTAAGTCTCCTTTTTTTGCCATTTTATTTAAAACTTCGTCGTTGCTCACATGTTTCGTCCATGGTACTCTCAGTATCCTTCTATAGAACCATATTTACATTACCTCATGTCTCTTCTTGTCTGAGTAGATCGTCGAGCGATCAAGTCATATAGGCGGACTGATATTACATAAGAGTTCAGTACTCTTTTCTTTGTTTCTAATTATCCATAATTTTGTCATTGTAGATTTTATGATTTATCTGTGAATTCGCAATTAAATTTCGATATAACAATTAAGTCTTGGTCAGTGGATAAAGTAACATTTCTAAAATACTGTTTAGTAGATGCCGAATTATGAATTAACATTAAGGTCGGTCGAATGTGCCTGGATTTATTTTATGATTTTACGATTCATTTTATGTCTTTGCATAAAATCATACTTAAGTTGATGGACACAAAGTAATCTGATTGGTTCGCTTGTAAGAAATATCGAAATGTTGTAATGGAATCATTTTCGTAGACAAACATATCTTCCACCTTCCTGAAGCCACGGCGGTTGTCATCATCGAAAAATATTTAGAGTTTATTATTCTAGAAGTGGGGAACTGTTCATAATATAAATACAGTCTCAAAATCGATGTCTGATTTCTTAAACGCAGTGACACCCCCACCCTCAATTCTACATCCTTGGTCTTACCCAGATTTGAATTTTCATAAATTACCTTCTCGATGACATCATCTATCAAATTGGTATCTACGCTTATGACCCAACCATTTACACCTGTCTGGATAGTACGGATGATCTGCCTGACAAGGTCAACATGGCAGCCTATGTCCAAAACGACGTCAAGTCCGTTGTTAACTATGGCAAAAAAAAATGCCTTGTCAATTTTAACGCCTCCAAAACTAAACTTCTCTTCATTAATCATCTGAATGACCTTTTTCTGACTTACATTACCATGTCTGATGCTAACCTAAAGGAATGTGGCTCGTTGCCCCTTGTCGGGCTAAAGTTCTTAGCTGACATGAAGTGGAAAGACTATATTTAAACGATTGCTAGGTCAAAAAATTGGATCACTGTGTCGTGCGAAACATTTTATCACTCCAGAAACTATCTCACATATCTCTGTCTACCATTCGTCCATGCTTAGAATATTGCAGCCACATATGGTCCGGTGTCTCTGATTTTTATCTTGACCTTCTTAATAAAATCCAAAGAAGAATCTGCAATACTATTGGTCCTGAACTGGCAGCTCGTCTTCAATCACTTAAACACCGCCGTAAA